ACCTCCTCCCATATGTTGATTTAATGTCTAACCTTATTAACCAATCAAAGTATGCTTTATATATCACATGACAAGGGTTATGCCTTTTGGTCTTGAGGCATGCCTATAAACATACCCTTAGGGCAGGGTTGGCACATTTGTCTATTGGTATGAATGGACCCAGGTCCATTGACCAGTTCCATTGGTTCTATTGGATAGTACTATTCCAATGGACCAATAGACAAGTAGGTAAAATAATTATATACTGTAGCTTTTATAAATGAGTTTAGAATATTATACCACGTGATATTTGAGATTTTTTTGGTATTGACCTTATTTTGGCTTATGCTAATGGACTAATGGACCAATGGATTATGACATTGGTCCATTGAGTTCCATTGACAAACTTATTTTCAATGGACATAGTCCATTGCCAACCCTGCTTCTAGGTGCCCAAGAGGTAGCCGGTGGATGTCGGGCCTAAATATTAAGCTCAAGTTTTGTAAATTTATACAATATTCTTAATAAAAGACCACCGGTAAGGTTGCCAAAGATTAAAAAAAAAAGAAAACAATAATTAAAAACATAATAATAATTGAAAACGTAATAATAATTGAAAACGTAATAATAATTAAAAATATAATAACAATAATTGAAAACATAGTGAATTTCAGATATAAATACTAGTTTTAATATAATGGATAATAGTTTAATGTTTAAATAATTATTGTTAAAGATAGCTAAAGCAAAACCAAATATCAATAAAATTTTGAGTGGTTCTTTTAGTTTTTATAGTTAAATTTTGTGAACCAAACAAGTATACATAAATTTGATAGAATTTATATAGTTAGACCTTTCTAAATGCATTATGTAAAAATTTAGTTAAACGTGTATTCAGAGAGATATTGCATTTAGGAAAATAAAAATCCATATTATATATGTTAGCTGGGCCCAAGACGTCCATTTCGATAGCTTTTTATAGGATGTGCATTTGGGGTCGAAACTGATTGTAGTTTTAAATTAAAATTTTAAATTTTTGGTCTTAGCTATTTTTAACGGTTTTACTAAATCACATCACTGGTGTTCGACATCATAGCTGCTATATCTCAAAAACGTACTAGCTAACACACGTCAGGGGTACTAAGAAAAATATTTAGCGCTCCCAAAACCTTCCATAATTAAATTTAGACCTATATCGTTCAGGTTCCCTAACCCTAAATTTTACTAAAAAACTATTAAAAAATATATGTGGTATTAAACACCAATGGTGTGATTTAGTAAAACTCTTAAATCTAATATGTATAAAGTTGCTAAAAAAAAAAATTAAATTTATTCAAGATATATAAGTATTTAAAAGCAGTATGATTTATCACTTGATTTTTAAGCCTTTTTTAAAATACAAGGGTTTAAAGTTACTAAAATTATATAATAAAGTTCTATAATTAATATACAACATAGAGGATTTATATTACTTCATCTTTAATACATTTTGAATTTTAATACATTTAGTAATTTAGTTAATTTGAACCTCTGTTTATTAAACCAACTCAGATAATATCAACCCTTCCCTAATACAGTATTCCAATTATAATTTAAATTTTGCTTTAAAATAATATATATATTAAATAAAATTTTTTTAATAAATTTTTAATTATTAGGCTATATGATATTAATTTTGTGGTTCTCAACATAAAATTTTAAAGCAAAGTGACCTGGTATCCGGCTTTTAGTTTTATTTCAAAAAATTACATATAAAAATTTTTTGGTTGGATTTTTTAAAAAAACCATCCGAATAATAAATGTACTTAAAAATCTTTTTTCTTAGGTTTAGCAAAATTTGACCCGGCCGGGTTATAAGAACCAAAAAATTAACTTTGCTTGATCATATATATTTTTTAAAATATAAGTACGTATTATACAGTATTTCGTTAAACCCTCATACAATAATTCTAATAATTCTGATCAAACACTACTTTAAAGATTTAAAGTGATTGGTTATTTCAGGTAGATAACTACTCCAGATACATATATTAATAAATATATATATATTTGTAATAGGTTGTTATAAATCCATTAAATTTTTGTATACACCATAAATCAACACTATGTAACAACCAGATAAAGTTATTACCATACTCGATTTATAACTTTATAGTGGCATATTGTCGTGTTTTTTATAAATAAGTGGTAATTTTTTATGTTTTAAAACCTCTAAATCCTCGATAATTTTTTTTCGTGTTGTGGCAGGTAATATGATATCATCAAGAAAACTAAATGGTTAAGGAAAATGACAGATAAATAAATAAATGAGCAAATATAGTCAAATTAAAGGTCCAAAAACATACCCTCGCTGAGCTGCAGGTATTGGATTAGCAAACTAAAAACACAAATAAATTTGAAGAAATCAATACGGAAAAAATAACATGTTATACAGTATTACATAAAGTAATTACAAATTGTGCATACCTTGTCTAAAGATAAATTTGGTTTACATAACAATAATGATATGTTATATATAAGGATTTTACATGATAAATATGAGAGTTACTTAAAATACCTACCAATATATTCCTTTTCTGCTTGCGTTCGGTCTTCAACATGTCGAAATATAATTTCGACGGCCCCCTGATTTCGCAAGGTGAATTATGTCGGTAAGTTATAATTACGATAGTAATAGTAAATGCTAATAATATATTACCTTTGCACCCATAACGGCAATTTCACCCGTTGGCCATGCATAATTTATCTGAAAAATGAAAATATTTATTACAGTATAAATTATAATTCTTATATATTTAAGCAGTATAAGAAAACTTTACATCGCCACGAAGATGTTTGCTAGACATAACATCATAAGCTCCTCCATATGCTTTTCGCAAAATAATTGTGATTTTTGGAACAGTTGCCTAAAAATTAGGATTAGAAAGGTTCCGATAATAAGGCGAGACCAAATTAATATTAGGATATTAGGTATTTTACCTCTGCGTATGCATAAAGTAATTTGGCACCATGGCGAATAATACCATTATGTTCTTGAGCGGTTCCAGGAAGAAAACCGGGTACATCCACTAATGTGATGATTGGAATGTTAAAAGCATCACAAAATCGAACAAACCTAGCAGCTTTCACAGAGCAATTGATATCTAAAACTCCCGATGATACTAATGGCTGATTTCCAACAATAGAAACGGTTTGACCACCCATCCGGGCGAATCCTATCACAATGTTTTTAGCGTAGTCTGGCATAACTTCAAAGAAATTGGTATCATCCACAAGGCGCAAGATAACATCACGTACATCATACGCTTTCGTGGAATCAAAGGGAATAATGTGGTTAAGAGATGGATCTTCACGGGTTATGGGATCATCGGTGTAACGGGTGGGAGCTTGTTCACGATTTGAAAGCGGCAAGAAATCTATAAAGTCGCGAACGCTGTTTCGAATATTTGTATTAATAACAAAGTGAAATACGATAATACATATTGTATTGAATTTTACCGTTGCAAAGCCTCGATGTCATTTTCAAAAGCATTGTGAGCAACCCCTTTAAATACATAGATTGAAATTAAACATGAATAAAGGGGTTATTTGTTCCAATAACAGGGCACTGATATTAACATGTACGTACCTGACTTAACAGTATGTGCTCTTGCACCACCGAGCTCTTCTTGTGTCACATCTTCGTTTGTAACTGCCTTGACTACATCAGGGCCCGTGACAAACAAGTATGATGTATCACGTACCATGAAGGTAAAGTCGGTAAGAGCTGGAGAGTACACGGCACCGCCTACGAATGTAATTTAGTTTGATCATATCCGATAATTGCTAATTTTGAAAACTTAAATAAACAATGAACCTTACCAGCACATGGACCCATGATCAACGATATCTGAGGTACAACGCCGGATGATAAGACATTCTTTTGAAAAATGTCTGCATATCCAGCAAGGGAATCTACACCCTCTTGAATACGCGCACCACCAGAGTCATTCAAGCCAACAACTGGCGCACCAACCAATACAGCTTTATCCATTATTTTACAAATCTTTTGGGCATGCATTTTTGATAAACTACCGCCAAAAGCAGTAAAGTCTTGAGAAAATACAAAGATTCTTCGGCCATTTATCGTGCCATGTCCAGTAACTACACCGTCACCAATGATCTAGAGTTTAAAGTTTATAAGAATTATAGATAGATTTGATTTAAATATGTATAGTCTCAATATACCTTGTTTTTTTCCATACCAAAATCTGTACATTGATGTTCTACAAAAGTATCATATTCACGAAATGATCCTGGATCTAAGAGTAAATCAATGCGTTCCCGAGCAGTTAGCTTGCCCTTGAGGAATAATAAGTTAATTTTCATTAATAATATCAATAATTGTATAAAGGAATTTAGAATACCTTTTTATGTTGAGTGATAATTCTTTTCATGCCGCCTCCCAAATGTGCCTCCGCGCGCATGGATTCCATTCGCGCTATGATTTCCTGAAAAATAATAATTATTAAAATTATTATTGATAGATTAAAATTCATTGCAAGTTTACCTCTTCTTTAGTATTGCCAGATGCATATTCTCGAATTCGTATTGGTGTTAATGCAGAAATTCTACCAAATGATTTTGCGTAGGGATAGATATACGATACACGTGTAAATGGGGAAATGATGCATTTATAATTACGTGTGAAAGCTTCTCGGTACATTGCAAATTCGATCAAATTTTAAAGTAAACAAATGTGTTATCAAACTCTTGGGTTTAAAAAGGTTCGCGAAAAATTGGTATGTTACACGATTATGTAATTTTATGCAATTTTTAATTTGTCATTACGATTAGAAAAAATCAGGCAATTTAAATAACATCCGACAATATGGATAACATCCGATGACGAACTATAAAGCTAAATTTATTTAACGGTTTAATTTATTTTAAATTGACACGTGAAAGTTGATTTCGACTCCATTTATATTGACCTCACGCTCAGAGTTTGTTTTAAAAGAAACAAGAAAAACTAATAATCAATGAATATATTGACTGCTCGAGTACGCGTCGCTGGGACATGGTTCTCCGCTAATTCAGTAATTATCAATCAGAAGAATTTTGCATTTTATCGCCCTTCAATAGTTCACCCGACTCGCTATTTTCATTCTTCGCTCACAACGTATTATGCTAACATACAAGGGCCTCCTCAATCGGTAGATTATGGAAAGGAAAGTTTCATTTCATGCATTTAATTAAAATGCGCGTTTTTAATAGCTGAATTACTGCGCATTCGTATGTTTTGAAAGAATCCTAATAAAAGAAAAAAAAATTCAACCAACAGACTTTTGATAAAATATTGATTGCAAATCGTGGAGAAATCGCTGTTCGTGTAATCCGTACAGCCAAAAAAATGGGTATTAAAACAGTAGCAATCTATTCAGATGCGGATGCTCGAAGTTTGCATGTGGAAATGGCAGATGAAGCGGTCCATGTAGTATGTATTAAATTACGACTTTTTAAACCCATCCAATTTTCCAAGCATAATAGAATTGTCCCGAATCCCAAACTCCCAATTTACGATTTTCATGATTTCAAATTAATTAAATTCAAAGTATTCAAATTCCAAAAATTTGCCAAGTATAAAATTTTCCATGATATTTATGATTACTGCACTATTTAGGGACCTCCACCAACAAATCAAAGTTATCTCAATATCCCCAATATTCTCCAAGCGATCAAATCAACTGGAGCACAAGCTGTACATCCAGGTATGGTTATAGTTGAATTAATGTTATGTTCTTTCAAGTGATTAATGACGTTAATACCTGTAGGTTATGGATTTTTGTCGGAAAACTCGCATTTTGTGAAATCACTTAACGAAGCAGGAATCGTGTTTATAGGACCGGGAGAATCAGCAATGGCAGATTTAGGTGATAAGATTCGAAGCAAAATTATAGCTAAACAATCTGGCGTTAATACTATCCCTGGTTTTGATGGCGTCGTAAGGGATAATGATCATGCTTTAGAAATCGGTAAATAGTTTTTTTTTTTTTTTTTTTAGTATAGTTGATTAATCTCAAATGTTTTTTTATTCAGCGCGATCGGTCGGTTATCCTGTAATGTTGAAGGCTTCAGCGGGAGGAGGCGGAAAGGGTATGCGCATTGCATGGTGAGTACAAGCTCCAGTTCCAATAATCTTGGTTGTTTATAATAATATATTACATTAATTAACAATAACATTTATGACAATAAGGAACGATCAAGATGTTATTGATGGTTTCAAAATTGCATCACAGGAATCATTATCAAGTTTTGGCGATAGCCGTTTATTAATTGAGAGATACATCGATAATCCACGTCATATTGAAATTCAAGTTCTCGCAGATAAATTTGGAAATGTATTATATTTTCCTGAACGAGAATGTTCAATTCAAAGAAGAAATCAAAAAGTATATAAGTTTTCCTTTGCTACATTATAATATTAGAAATATTTTTCTTAATATTATGCCTTAAATAGGTTATTGAAGAAGCACCAAGTACTTTTTTAGATCCAGCAACACGTAAAGCTATGGGAGAACAGGCTGCTTCACTCGCTAGACACGTCGGTTATGTATCAGCTGGGACAGTTGAATTTTTGGTGGATCCTCAGCGTAATTTTTACTTCTTGGAAATGAATACACGTCTTCAAGTTGAGCATCCTATCACCGAATATATTACAGGAATTGATTTAGTTGAACAAATGATTCGTATAGCAGCAGACCAGAAATTGTCGATGACTCAAGAAGACATAAAATTTCGCGGATGGGCGTTTGAATCACGTGTATATGCAGAGGATTCAGAAAAATATTTACCATCTATCGGACGTCTTAGTAAATACATAGAGCCACAAAGCTCAACTGATAAACACGAAGTCCGTTGTGATTCTGGTATCGTAGAAGGGAGCGAAATCAGTATATATTATGATCCTTTGATTTGCAAACTTTCTACTTATGGAGAAACAAGGGATGAAGCCATTAATATCATGCTAAAAGCTTTAGATTCTTATGTTATTAAAGGTTAGAAACAACATTTTAATAATGCGCATACAGTATATTAGTGGAAACGATAAAATTATAATCTTATTTTGTATGTGTTAGGCGTTACTCATAATATTCCATTACTTCGCGAAGTTATTTCAAGCCGAAGATTTCGATCTGGTAATATATCCACAAAATTTCTTGCAGAAGAATATCCAGGTGGATTTAAAGGTCATGTTGTCAAAGATGAATCTCTACATGAACTTATTTCCATTTCTGCGTTTGTTCATGCTAAACGTGATTTGAGAAATTGGAGTTGGATTGATGGAAAAGAAACTTTATTTAGAGGTGACTTGAACAAAAACGCACCAAGTAAATGGGATCTTTGGATAACAATTAATAAAAATAAGGTTATTGAACCTATTAACGTAAAAGTTGAGAAAAAAAACATGAGCGAAGAAGAATTTGAGGTATGGCTAAAGCTGACATGATTAATTCTTGGTAAAAGTGTTATTTAACGACGTTTCTACATATGATACAGATCCTAATACCAAACCATCCAAAAACTATAATATCAGCTAAATGGCCATTGGAATCACCACTGATTAATGCATTTCTTCTTATTGATAATCAAGAAAACAAGACGTTAATTGCGCAATATGTCGATCCTTTACCGATTGGCTTCCGATTACAATATGCAGGCACAAAATTTGATATCACAGTCCACACACAACGACAGCATGAGCTGAGTCAACATATGATCGAAAAACCAAAACAAGATTTGTCCAAGGTGATATTGAGTCCTATGCCTGGTAGTGTTGTAAGCGTGGCCGTGGAAGCTGGCGATATGGTAAAGTATTATTATAAAGGATACAAAAAGTTCAAACCCAAAATTTATTTACAATTACAATTTACAGGTTGCTGAAGGAACCGAAATTGCTGTAGTAGAGGCCATGAAAATGCAAAACATATTACGCGCTTCACGTGCAAGTAAAGTGAAGAAGGTTAACGTTAAACCAGGTGATGCAGTGGCTGCGGAAGAGGTTATAGTAGAATTGGAGGATGTGAACCAAAAAAATACGTAAATTTAATAATGACAATAACTAATACATAGTTTTTACTACACGTCACTCTGGTTATACCGACATCGATATCATAGTAAAGTCTTTCTATATCGACTTTTTTATAACTCACTATATCGTTGAATTTATTTCCAGAGTAACGTGTATCTTACATAGTGGACCAATCATATAATGCTACACTATGATAGTAAATCATTTGGTATCTAACACCCCAATGAGTGACGCCAAGGGAAAAGGGATTTAAGTATATTCAGCAACGATGTAGATCGGACTTTCAATTTTATAACAAATGTTAATATAAAATGTCTATTAACGTTAACGTACAAAATTTAAAGCCCGATCTGAATCATTGCTGAACTCGAAAATTAATCAATAATATACTTAAATTGCTGAGGTGCCTTTTTCTCTTGGCGTCACTCGTATCATA